TAAGTTACATTAGGTCACTGGCATTAGTAGTACATTATTGTTCAATGTGTCATTAGGCAAGTTACAGGGTTAGCAACATTCTGCAGCTTATTTCTCAGTTACATACTATAGTTGCAATGTGCAATGTTAGGAGCTTTGTTTATCTCTCAAGAAAATCCATTGTTTAAAGTTACTGTTATGTGGACATGTTCAGGCTCAAAGGAGGTGGGTGAAACACTGTGGTTGTCTAACAAAAGAGTTCCTTTATTCCCAGGAGCTAATTACCTCAGATCAAGGCCCAGCAGACATTGCACATGTATTATCTTAGTAGGTCCTGGGAGAAACTGTAAAATATTCCAAGTATGGAAAACAGGGTGCCTGTTACCCCTGGGAGTTTGCTCATCAGAGGAAGGCTGTCCTGCACATTTCCACAGCCAGAATCCTTACAATATACATAAACATCACTGAACTGATGTGCTTATATTTTATTTAGATATTGCCATTACTATATTTGATTAAAAGAAAAAACAATGCAAATTAAAGTTACACACAATAATTATCCATTTAAATTTGCTCCTTATACTCATTGAAGGAATCTGTTATATACATTCAGATATATATTTTATCACATACAACTTCTACATACCTAAAAGAGAAACCACAAGTAAAATAAACTGGATGAGGAATATTACCTAACATCCCAAATAGCTTAACAGTTCAGTATTTGTGTATTTGGGGTATATATTTAACAGAAATGAGTGCTTATGTTTGCCAAAGAAATATTTTTTTTAGTTTATAACTTTTGTCACAGCCAAAAATTAGAAAACCAGAAACTATATCAAGTAGCCATTAACAAAATAATGAGTAAATAGAATATGCTATATTAATTAAATGTCACAGAGTAATGAAAAAGAACCAATCACTGATATAAATGTAAACATTAGAATTTCTAGTAAAAAAAGAGATATAAAAATGTGCATAGGAATTAATTTCATTTATATAAAAGAAAACTGGGAAATATAATTTAAGAAGGTAAAATCAGAATATTTGTTATTCTAAGGAGTAATATAGATTGGAAAATCAGAATAAGGAGATTTCTGTAGTAGTGGCATATTTGCTCTTTTTTTAATAAATCACAATAACAAAGGCATATATAAAATTCCATTTACCTATTTATGCATTTAATATTGGTATACCTTAGTGATATATATTTTATAACTCAATCATAACTAAAAATTATACAGATGTAGCCAAGTGAGTGGTATATGCCTGTAATCCCAGCTCCCAGAAGCTTGGGAGGCTAAGGCAGGAAGATCGGCTAGTTCAAAGCCAATATTAGCAAAAGCAATGTGTTAAGCAACTCAGTGAGACCCTGTTTCTCAAAAAAAAAAGACAGACAATGTGTGTATCCTTGTAGACATTTATTTGGTATTTTCAATGACATGGTTTACATATGTATTAGTCTGTATTTTTACTCTAATGAAATACCTGAGACAATCGAATTTTTAAAAGAAAAGAGGTTCATTTAGCTTACAGTGTTGGATATTCAAAGTTCAAGGCCATCTGGCTACATTGTTCAGCCTGTGAACCAAAGATGCCCTAAAGGTGGATGCCATCACAATGACTAAAATCCATTTGGGAGAAAGTGATCATATCTCAAAACAAGATGCCAGAGAAGCTGTGCTGTCATAATCACTTCCATTGGCATGCTTCCAATGACGCAAAGACCTCCCACTAAGGTCCAACTCTTCAAAGTTCTAACATATTCCACTACACACTGAGGACCAGGCCTTCAACACATGAAACACAGGAAGACAAATTCAAACTTATAACCAAACCATAGCACCATTTTATAAGCCAAAAAGATTAAATCGCTATTGGTTGTAAGTTAGATAAAAAATATTTATTATCAGCAAGTTTATGATAGCAACATTTTAAAAGTTAATTTTGAACTACAAGGGGAAATTTTTTAACGGTAGTTACAATCACAATGATTATTTTATAAATTATTCAAAACTAGTTCTGTAAAGAATAAGCATTCTGTTTAACTGACAAAGGAGAAACATAAACCTAATGATGTCAATGAAAATGTTGAGCTACTAAACATACCACCAAATCTAAACTGTTAAGAAATACAGTCATATTAACATAAAACATAATGCTAAGTGAAGTTAGCCAATCCCAAAATAAACAGATGCAGAATGTTTTCTCTGATACAGGTGACTGACCCATAATGGGGTAGGGAGGGGGAGTATGGGAGGAATAGACAAACTCTAGATAGGCAGAGGGTTGGTAGGGGAAGGGAGGGGGCATGGGGTTAGCAATGATGGAGGAAAGTGATAGACATTATTATCCAAAGTACAGGTATGAAGACATGAATTGGTGTGAATATAATTTTATATACAGAGATATGAAAAATTGTGCTCTCTATGTGTAATAAGAATTGTAATGCATTCCACTGTCATGTATTTAAAAAATAAAATCAATTAAATATCAAAAGATAAAATAAAGATGCTTCTTGTATCTCATTAGCACAATATAATTTGCTCTTGTCTAATAATTTTTCCTGTGGGTTTTAAATAGCAAGTGAATTCTAGAAATATATAGGAAATATTCCAAGAAACATAGTTATCTTTAAGATTGTAGCATATACTGGCATTTGCAGGGAAATGGATGGCATTAGAGCAGATTATGCTAAGTGAAGTTAGCCAATCCCAAAAAAACAAATGCCATGCTGAATGTCTTCTCTAATATAAGGGGGGTGACTCAAGATGGGGTAGGGAGGGAGCATGGGAGGAAGATTACCTCTAGATAGAGAACAGGGCTAGGAGGGAAAGGGAGGGAGAAGGGGAATAGCATGGATGGTGGAAGGAGACCCTCATCACTATACAATGTATGAATACATGTATGAATATGGTATACATGTATAAAGATGTAAATTTGGTGTCAACATACCTTATATACAATCCTTATATATAAACAGAGATATGATAAATTGTGGTATAAAGGTGTGTTAAGAATTGTAATGCAAAATAATAATAATAATAATAAGAGAGTTCATGTATAATGGCATAATTTGGCATGAACATACTTTATATACAGAGTTACAAAAAATTGTGCTGTGAATGGATAATTATGATTGTAATGCATTCCACTATTGTCATGTATGTAAGAGATTAAAAAATTAAAAAAAGAAAAGACATTCTCTGTATAAACCTCTACTCTTCCATTATAAAGAGGTTCTGAAAATTAAAATAAAAAGATTGTAGCATATACTATTCAACAAAAAATATTTATATCATGGAAACTTCATTACAAATAAAATACTCTATTTATACTTTAAATACTCAATATATCTTTTAGTGAAAATCATATGCCTCTTTTCCTACATTCAGACTTATTGTAAATATTTTGCCCAAATATTTTAGTTATCTGAAGGATCTCCATGCAGGTTAGCAGAAGAAGGTATTACAGAAGAAGGAACCTAAATACTGTATTGAGAAGAGAAACTTCATTTTGGTTTTCCAGATAGAAAATAAGCAAGGGAAGGCAATAGAGACTAGTTACAAGGAGAAGCCAAAATTAAATTAGGAGCAGATATGAAACTGCAAAAATAAACAAACAAAAAATATGATGCCTTAAAACGGAGACATTTTATATATAACCTGGGGACCCCAGGGAGAATATTTCTGTGGTACATTGAAGCAAAATTTTGTTATTTTTCTGAAACCTAAAGTGTTATTTACCAAGAATTAATTGTAGTTACTCCTAACAACCCAACTTCTGCCTCATTCTCTGGAGATAATTGCAAATATTTTATGAACTGATATGGCTAGAAATATTATTTAAGTGCAAAGTATACAGTCACTATAAATATTATCTAAATATAATTAGGTTTTCTGAGTTTATGAGTCTTAGCATTGCTTTGATATTTATTAGTTGTGCATTCTCACTCATACCACTTAGCTGCATTGCATTCTCAATTACAGTACAAAAGTTCGGAGAGTATGATCTCCAGCATTCTGTAGTGATTGTAACATAACATGTACCAACACACTGATTCATTTTTTTATTGGCCTTGTCTGAGTTTATAGGCCTTGATTTAACCACTATTTCATGACTGGATACATTCTTCCCCTAAAACAAATCTTTTAATTTATGACTGTGGAATAATTATAAACTAGCACCTCTTATTGTTGCATGTAGAACCTGGGTTTACAAGAGGTTAATAAGGAAGAGAGAGAGAGAGAGAGAGAGAGAGAGAGAGAGAGAGAGAGAGAGAGAGAGAGATTGATTTAAAAAAATTAGGCATGCAAAAATGACACAAGCAACTTATAACCTGATCAGAGTAACAATTCAATAAATGTAGCCTTTATTAACATAGCTATTATCAACTGCAATTGTTTTTGAATATAAAAAAGAATCATATCAAAAGGAGAAAATTAGATACCCTGTGGCTACATTGATTAAAAAATGTCCAACCATGCAACAGCAGAATTGAAGTTGCATCTATCTTCCCTGTTTTATATTTCATTATAATGAAGTAGAAAAAAATCTATTCCTTTAAAATTGATTTGATTATATTTCCACTGATTATTGCTCCAAATATAGAAGTAGACCAAAGTTGAAATTCTTTTTATTGTGCAAAAAAAAAGATGCTTTAGGCATGCATAACATTTTGCAAGTCAAAATCCTAATGCTACAATTTGATTTGAAATTTATTTTAGGTGTGCTCAATATTCTGTGACTAAAACTAATTGAGGGCCAGCTTCTACTATATTACATTTTCTTATAAGTCAAATAATTAATTTTAAAAATCTATTTCTTGGTCAATGCTTTCATTTAAATGTGTATGTCCATTCCAAATACAAATTTCAAATCTTCCAAATCATACCCCCAAAGAGATGGTATTAAGAAGTGAAGCCCATAGGAGGGAACGAGGCCCTGAGGGTTCTGCCCTCATGAATGAGATTATTGCCATTATAAATTGGCTTAAATATGAGACATAGTTACTATTTCACCTGGATTTCTTCTGCCATTCAAGGATACAGTTTATCTCCTCCAAAGAACACAAAAACAAGATTGGCATCCTGAAGCAGAGAATGAACCTTCACCAGATGCCAAATATGCTGGTACCTTGATCTTCCTTCTGCCATCTTCAGAAACTGTGAAAAATGAGTTTTTATTATTTAAAAATTGCCTAGTCTGTGGTATTTTGTTACAGCAGCAGGAACAAAACTAAGACAAAAATTGGTACTGAGAATTGGGTTCCTGCCTTAACAATTACCTAAAACTGTAGAACCAGCTCTAGTATTGGCTAATGGATCTGAGTGAACCATAAAGGATTATTCAATTGAGGGCTTGAAAAAAAAAGAGTAGAGTTACATAGAGAGACTGAATCTTTTAGAAATTACTAATTGGCTGTTAATAGAATGTCAGTAAAAATACAGATGGTAAAGGCAATTTGGATATGATCTTAGACATGGAAATAAGAAAGAAGGAATTGGACATTAGAGGAGAATCCACCCCTATTATAATATGGCAAATAACTTGGCCTAGTAGTTACCATGCTAGTACTTTGTGAAAGGTGAACTTTCAATCTATGAATTAGCATATTTGGTGGAAGAAATCTTTAAGTAGTGTTCAGGGTCCTACATGGGTTCTCTTGATGGCTTGTAGTAAAATGCAACAAGAGGGGGATGAGTTAAATATGGAATTTACATTCAAAAGGGAAGTGAAACTTAAATCTCAGCCTAGCCAGACAACAACAAAAAAATTAAATTTTTTTAAAAAGCTTATTTAGGTAAAAATATCAAGGTTGTGGCAAAGATTTGATGAGGTAATTAGTACAAACAGAAGGAAACTTGTGATATTCACCAGCTCAATGTAAGCATGTCTCACATCTTCCTGGCTTCCCCACCCATCACAAGCACAAAATGCTAGGACCTTGAATGCAGAATAAATCCCAAGAAGGAGAGCAGGATACCTCTTAGGACATTGGGACTCAGTGCTTATGGCCATATCAAATTTCTGCCCCCTGCAATCTCACACAGTGCTCCATGTCAGATTCAGACATGGCATAGACATAGTTTGGGTCACTGTGTGACTTTAAAAATGGGGAATGCTGTAAGACTTAAATCATTACTCTTGCACCTCCCAGCCCCTATGTCAGGAGTTCTGAGCCTTTCCTTTTACTTTCCTTTTTAATAAAAATCCCTGCTTGCTTACCTGGGCATTTGTGGTGTTCATTCTTCAACTCTGTGGAACATGGACCCTATCCCGATTCCTGCTGGTATCAAGGAACCAGGACTACGTCTACCTAGATTTGAAAGGATGTCTTAGAGAGCCTCAAGGATGAGTCACAGAACTGCTACAAAAGCAGTTACATTACAGAGACACCACCCCCCCACCCTCCCACCCCCCTCCCGCCATTAGTGCATAGCCTAAGGGAGCTGTGAGGGCCCTGTCACCTTAAATAGCCTAGACAAGTAGAGCATGTGATTTTAGGCTGGAAAAGATGAAAGCATGCAAGTCCAACCCATGAGAACTATGATGTGGGCTGCATGCAGCAAGTCACAGAATCAGGATCATGTGGAGCCCTAATCAAGCATACCAGAGAGACATCTAAAGAACACTCCATTGAACAGTGGCAGAATAAAAATTCTCTTGATGCTTAATGATAAAATGTCTCCAATACACTTAAAAGGATTGAAATCATATAAACCATGATGGAAATAAATTATAAATGAATGAAATAATATTTGGGAAATTTACTATGAGTCTAAGGAACAACACACTCTAAAATATCTAGTAGCCTGTAAGGTATGTGCAAAGGAAATATAATAGATTTTGAGGTGAACAAATACAAAAAGAAAATTTAGTTAATCATATGGCTTGCAATTAAGAAGAGCCCAGAGAAAAAATTTATAGCAACAAATGAGTATATTACAAGCACTAAAAATCTCAAGTGAATAAAAATTCAAGATAGTGGATTAGAGGAAAGTTGCATTCTTAGTTGTTCTATGGCTCAGGATTCAAGAAACAGTAGTACTGCTTTCAGTGAATTAAGTGAAAGAGTTACCCTAATGCTAAAACCATGCATAGGCATCAGTTGAAAACTACATGATAAATTTCTTGAAATACTAAAATATAATCAGGTACCACATACTGAAACAATCCACCAGAGACAGACTGTAGGCATGGTAGCAGTCCATAAGATTACAATAGAGGTGAATTTTCCTATCACCTGGTGATGTCATAACCCCCTAATATCATAGTATGTTGAATTTCTCACATGTTTGCGATAATGCTGCTATAAATGCATCTACCAAACTTACAGGCATATAAAATTTTGAATTTATAATTATTTACACTTATAACTCAACCCCAGCAGGTGATACCTACTCCTGAGCCACACCTTGTTATACCAGCTGCGGTAATGCCCAAGTTACTGTAACCTGGCACTGCCATGCCAGACTGAATGAAATAATTGTTCAGAACCCAGTGCATCAGGCCTTAAAGGCATCTGCATCCAGGGCAGCTCCCAACACTGAATATTAAGAGAAATATGAAAATATCAAGTCCTACAAGCATACTTGAGAAATTCTCAATTTTTTATGAAAGAACATATTTAATATTGTCTGTCATTATGAGTTTTATTTACCCAATCTGCTAATTCACAAACATTTATAACAAGCCAAGCTTGTCACTACAGACTCTGTCCAGTTGATAATGTGTGTGCAGTTCTCAGTGAGGAAATCATTAGCTTTGATAATTTTCTTGAAGTATTGTCACTTATTACTAAATTTACTCTTGCACAATATAAACAGACATTACATTTTTAATATTCTTGGAGGGCTGGAATTACTGATCTATGAGAGTTAAAAAAGCTTTCATATTCTTGAATTAGGAAAGTACCAGAAATTTCAAATTCACTCGGGAACATAACTCTCTGAGTATGAAGGAACTTCAGACAGTAGCTATAAATTCTAGTCCTGCCCTGATAGGATGCATGGGTGGTGGGGTTTTACAGTGAGCTGTGTAGGTATTCTGACCATGGAAATAGTCAGGGAAGTATTCCCCTGGTGAGCAAACTCCCAGGGGGTAACTGCTACCCTGATTCTCATGATTGGAATGCCCAGCAGTTTCCTCCAGAGGCTATTAAGATAACTATGCAGGTGCACTACCTCCTTGGGTTACTGTGTTTGTATTAACCAGGACTGTATTTCAGTTAGCTAATACTCAGAATTAAAGGAATACCCGTTAGAGTGCAGTCAGGTGTGATGGGCAATATGTAACCTTTTTTGAGTTAATAAACTTAGCAGGAGGGAGGAGCAGACACTACACTGCACTTCTGCACTTCTTCCTCACCACTTCACTTCACTCCTCTCTACTCTGTCCTGTCTGTCTGCTTGCACCATTTGTGTCTGTGTCTGTTCTTTGTGTGCCTCCTTGCAGGTATTCCTTCACAGGTTTTCCTTCAAAAGACAGAGCTGTTTATGAGAAACTTTTTTAACCTCCCAGATGCTAGGCATCTGACACCTGACCAGGATTTCCCTCTCCCATTAAGCTTTTTAAATAGGGAGATGCCCATGGGCTCTTCTCTGACTTATATCCAATTTATAATGAAGACACAGCACAACAAAACACATGAAGGAACAAACATTTTATCACTTACAGAGCCATGAGAGAAGAGAGGTGCCCAAAGTCTGGAGAAAACAGGGCTCAACTAGCAAGTTGAGGGTGTAAGTGTGTGTGTGGAGGGGGGGAGGTGGAGGAGAAAGACAAGCTCTTGTGTTAACCATTGGGTTTTAGCAAGTCAACACCTGCAGGATGTGTCGCATTTTGGATCGGTGAGATGAAAAACAGGTTATATTTTTATTGCAAACATACACACAGGAAGAGTAAGTTTTAACTAGGCCAAAGGTTATGAGGCACAAGTGGGTTTTAACTTGTCAGGCCTAAAATGAATGTCAAGGCAGTAACTACATCCAGAAAAATTATGACACAAGAACGACAGATTTATGAGATATTTATCAGCCTAATGATGTGGGTCAACAAAGTTATTTCTTATCTCATTTGAAATATTTATTCATACAGACGATGTTGTTCCTAATTCTTCTTATTGCATATGTATAGCTGAAGACAGCCATGGAGTTGGATCAAAATATTTTAGTAGAATAAATACATATAGGGACATGGATAATCAGAGATAATTTGGGTATGATAAACAGAATCCATGTATTGAAAGTAGGTCTAAATGCCAGATGTGGTGGCGCACGCCTGCAATCCCAATGGCTCAGGAGGCTGAGGCAGGAGGATCACAAGGGCAAAGCCATCCTCAGCAAAAGTGAGGCATAAGCAACACAGTGAGACCCTGTCTCTAAATAAAATACAAAATAGAGCTGGGGGTGTGGCTCAGTAGCCAAGTGCCCCTGAGTTAAATCTCTGGTACCTGCCCCCCAAAATAGGTCAAATTAAGGAACTGGGGGGGGGGAATGTATATATGTCTGTGTATTTCTTTTTACTTTTTATTTGTTCTAATTAGTTATACATGACAGTGGAATGCACTTTAATACATCATACATAAATGGAGTATAACTTCTCATTCTTCTGGTTGTACATGCATAGAATCACACCAGTTATGTAGTCATATATCCATATAGGGTAATAATTTCCAATTTATTTTACTATCATTCCTCCCCACAAACACTCTACCCTCCCTTCACTCCCCTCTATCGAATTCAAAGTACCTCTATTCTTCCCTAGCCCCCCTTATTATGAATCAGAGAAAACATTTGTGATTTAGTTTTGGGGGATTGGCTTATTTTGCTTAGCATTATATTTTCCACCTCCAGTCATTTATTAGCAAATGCCATCATTTCATTCTTCTTTAAGGCTGAATAATATTCCATTATGTATATATACCACATTTTCTTTATCAATTCATCGGCTGAAGGGTACCTAGGTTGGTTCCATAATTTAGCTGTTGTGAGTTGAGCTACTGTAAACATTGATGTGGCTGTGTCACTGTAGTATGCTGATTTTAGTTCCTTTGGGAATAAACTGAGGAGTGGAATAGCTGGATCAAATGGTGGTTCCATTCCAAGTTTTCCGAGGAATCTCCATACTGCTACCAATAATGGTTGCACCAATTTGCAGTCATACCAACAACATATGAGTGTACCTTTCCCCCCAATCCTTGCCAGCATTTATTGCTGCCTGTATTCTTGATAATAACCATTCTGATTGGAGTTGAATAAAGTCTTAGAGTAGTTTTTATTTGCATTTCTCTAATTCTAGAAATATTAAACATTTTTTTCATACATTTGTTCATTGATTGTATTTCTTCTGTGAAGTATCTGTTAAGTTCTTTAGCCCACTTATTGATTGGGTTAGTTGTCTTTTTGGTGTTAAGTTTTTTGAGTTCTTTATTTATCCAGGAAATTAGTGCTCTATCTTACATACATGTAGTAAAAAATGTTCTCCCACTCTGCAAGCTCTCTCTTCACATTGTTGATTGTTTCCTTTGCTGAGAAGAAGCTTTAACGGTTGAATACATCCCATGCATTGATTCTTGATTTTACTTCTTGTGCTTTAGGAGTCTTGTTAAGGAAGTCAGATCTTAAGCTGACATGGTAAAGATTTGAGCCTACATTTTCTTCTAGTAGGTGCAAGGTCTCTGTTCTAGTGCCTAAGTCTTTGATGCACTTTGAGTTGAGTTTTTTACAGGGTGAGAGATAGGAGTTTAATTTCATTTTGTTACATATGGATTTCCAATTTTCCCAGCATCATTTGTTAAATAGGCTATCTTTTTTTCCCAGTGAATTTTTTTGGCTACTTTGTCTAGAATGAAATAACTGTATTTATGTGGATTTATCTCTGTATCTTCTAATCTGTACCACTGGTCTACATGTCTGTTTTGGTGTCAATACCATGCTGTTTTTTTACTGTGGCTCTGTAGTGTAGTTTAAGGTCTGGTATTGTGATGCCTCCTCCTTCACTCTTCTTGCTAAGAATTGCTTTGGCTATTCAAGGTCTCTTATTTTTCCAAATGAATTTCATGATTGCTTTTTCTGATTCTATAAGGAATGTCATTGGAATTTTAAATTTTATTAAATCTGTATAGTGCTTTTGGTAGTATGGTCATTTCAACAATATTAATTCTGCCTATCCAGGAGCAAGGGAGATCTTTCCATCTTCTAAGGTCTTCTTCAATTCCTTTCTTTAGTGTTCTATAATTCTCGTTGCAGAGACCTTTCACCTCTTTTGTTAGATATATTGCCAAGTATTTTGGGTCTTTTTTTTAGGCTATTGTGAATGGGGTACTTTTCCTAATTTATCTTTCAGTAGATT